ACATTTTAACCTAAATATGGGATTTCTGTTTGCAGTTTCTTCCTGAACAGGTAACAGTAAGTTCATGTGAAATGTTAATAGAGGTTTAAATATCACTAGCTGCTAAGTATTCATATTTGAAATTTTGTTTCAAATTCACAACAACTTGCATGTGCAAAATTGCCATTGTAAATGTAGAGGTCATTTTTGAAATGTATGCTGTAACAGATCATACTAAAGATGATGCCACCCTGACGGTGGCAGAGCAGGCTTGGCTCGCGTATGGTCTCTTCTAGGGGCTCACCTACCATTTTGTGTTCTGTAAAGCACCATCTTGTTCCCATTTTGACCCATCTCTTAATAGAAAAACTCTGCACATAGTTATCCTAAATACTATTTCACTCTTACACAAATACATCTCTTGTTTTTACATCAAAATCTACATACATTTGGCAGGTTTCTGCTCCAAAACTAAATAAGCTAAGTTAGCAATTCATGTGCCTTACTCAAAACAGACAAGTGGAATGTTTTTATGTTATTTTATCCTTGACTGCTTTTTGGTTGTCTTGCTTGAACAGTTTTTTGTATTACTACTTTTATGCTGAGGTTTTTTTATTTCTTTACATTTTATCTTGGAAAGAGAGGCAAAAAAAAAAAAAATCAGTCTGCTAAAAATACATAATGGCAATAAATTCAGTCCTAGTCAAGTAGAAGTATATGGGATCAGCACTGGTCATCGGCAATTTTAGCAACACACTGCCTTTCATGTTGGTTAAACACCGGAGACTGCTCTAGTCCTTGAGCTGCTGTAGGGCAGCTGGCTCCAGCACGTAACAAAACCACGTTTTTTGGAATCCCTTAAATGAGGGCAAAGGTTTGAGTCAGCCTCTGTTGGCATTAATTTGCTTTGCTCCCTAATGACTGAAAAGGGGACAGAGCACATATATGTGAAGACGACGGCACTTAAATTCACTTTATATTATTGCAGTCATGGTTTCAGGTTCTCCCCCTCTATTTGCACAGACCCACCACATAGCTGACAGTGCTGCACCTCCGTGTAAGGAGGAGGCCAGTGGGATGGAGC